ATATATATACAGTACAATTTCAGAATCGTAACGCAGAACAGTTAGTACCAGGATAAAGCTTTGTGTTATTTTATCATTCATATGAGAGGGCGCTGTTGCAATATTGTGTTTCGTCATAGTGTTGGACACTAACAGCAAGTCCTCTCTGCTGTTAAAGAAAATAATAAACTCTTTAAGGGYATMTCTTTACTGTAATATCAGATGACGTTATGTCCCTGTTTTAAATGATGATAAACCTTACTTTCCGTTATTCAAAATAGTGATAACTGGTAGATAGTTAGTTATTGGTGATCCTGCATTTTAATTTTAGAAAGCACAAATCCGCTTATGAATTATAAAAATTTGTAAAACCGCTAAAGCGCAATTGACATATTTAGGTCCACAATTAGCGGACTGGTGCCCACCACTGCCCAAAACCATGCATCAACTAATGAAATCTGTTTCAAACCACATACCTCGCAGTGAGAGTCCCAGGCTCGCTCGTCTTCCTCAGGCCTCTTCCTGCCTCTCTTCCTGCTTCCCCTTGAACACTGGTCACCATCTGGTCACACACAAGAGCCGACAACAGTGAGGGGGACAGAGAGCAGCAGAAGGTCAGACAGATGGCAGAAGAGAAAATGAAGTTTTTTGGGGGGTGAAGAAGCAGGCGGTTTCTTTAAAACAATGAGCAGGAGTAAAAAGTGTTTAACAGTAGAAGTTAGGCCTTAAATGAAAGAACAGTGCAGGTGTGACTTAATTACATTTATTGATATTAAATTTACTTTTACTGCAAACCAGCATTATTAGATAAATAAATTCATTTGTTTTTATCAGTCTAATAAAAAGAAAGGAATGCAATTATTGAACCTTTATTTAAGCAGGTAAATTACACTGATCTCTTTTACAAGGAAGGCCTGAAGGCAGCTTATCATGCGWGTTTGTGGTTTGTGGAAGGAAACCAGAGAAAACCCATGTTTTTAAACATGAAGTACATGCAAACTCCACACAGAAACAGCCAGTCTCAACRTGGGGTCGAACACACAATCTTTTTGCTGTGAGGCAACAGTGCCAACCACTAATGTATCGTAGGGCTGGGCCATAGCATATRGTTCACYATAATACCYGTAAAAAAATCTTGACCGGTAAAATAAATAATATCATGATATGCTAATTTCATGACTGACGTCATTCTGCCCATGACGGAGTACCTGCTTGTTTTCTGTTGCGAGACCGCAACAAAACTGGGCAGCCCAGTCRGATACATGTTTAAAAAGACGCTGCTTTCAACGAATCAAACGCACCCCACAGCTTTATCCAATCAGAGCAGAGCAGGACYGGTCTTTCTGATGTCGACTCGGTGCAGCAGTCTGCAGGATAAACAGCGGTCAGCCTTCAGCTCCTGTCCTGAGCGAACAAACCCCGTCCTCCACACTTCGCTCCCGAGCTACCAGAGACGTTTGTATGTAAAATCTGTAGGGGTCACCTCGAGTGAAGAAAGAAGATTTACTGCCTCGAAGCAGGCCTCGGACAGGCCTGACGAGAGGACAGGAAC